GTGTAATCCTCTTTGTTGGCCTTGTATGCGTCATGTTTTGTGCTCACCATGCTAGCTTGATTTGACCTGATTCCATGCATGTTTTGGCCTTATTTTGACCTGCCTTGGAATTGTTTTGGGTCACCTTGGCCCTTTGGGGCTTCCTTGATATGGCCATAGTGTAAGTCCCTTGGCTAGCTTTAAGCTTTAAGCCCACTAGCATGCTTTGTTTGTCATATGTGCATGATTTAGCATCCTTTGGAATGTGATTTCAGTGCCTATTTCATTGCCACACCCTCAACTTTTCCACTCCTTCTATGTGCTTGAGAGTTGGTGCCTTCATGCCTTGCTTGTGAACCAATTGGCATGCATGCTTGTATATACTTTCGGACTTCATTTTTAGCATGCTTTGGCCATTGTTTTGGCATGCATGAGACTTGCTTGAGTTTGGTTTGGCCTATCAAGTGTTGCATTACATAGCCCTTGCCATTGCATTGATTGCATGTTGTCACATACTCATGTTGTTTACATGTTGTCACATTTGCATTGATTGCATGTTGTTGCATACTCATGTTGTTTGCATGTTACATGTTGCATTATGTTTGCATGTTTGTTGCATTGCATTGCGTTTGGATTGGATGTCGATCCAAACACGAGAAACGAGGGGCATTTCATACTTGAAGTGATGAAACGCGCCTCATTCCTTCGGTCACCGACACCTTTGATCATGCATGATAAGGTGGAGGTTCATTGAGTCTTATGTGGTATTTGTGTGCATTCATTTGACATTGACTTGTGCAACTCGGCCTTTTTGGCCATCATGCATTGAGATGCGTGATTGATGGCTCAAGAGCCGAGCGCTACACTCTTTTGAGCTTTAGACATGATAAGGAGTGTGGTTGTACACATATTTTCTTGCAAATACACTGCCATGCCTCTGTTAGTGCTTTGTTGCAGTAAAAGGGAGAATTTGCAGGAAGCATTGGCCGATCGACCACTTAGTCTGCCGATCGGCTATCAGATTTGGCCGATGGCCACTCCTCTTGGCCGATCACCTCTCAGAATGTCCATGAGGTGGATCAGAAGTATCTTGGAGGTTGGCACAATTTTCAGAGGTCTAAAGCAGTGCAAACAGAGGCATCACGAGGCACGGTAGTGGATTTCCGGGAGGACGCGACTGAGCATGCATCTTTCATTGTTCAAGGCGAAGTCGTGGCAGCCTAATTTAGATACTTTTTTATACTTAGTTGGTTATGTAACTTAATTAATTTGATTAATTAGTTGGCTTGTAATTAATTAGCTTAGCGTAGCTAGTTAGTTGATTTATTCGGACCCTTCGCCGAGAGGGCCAACTGTTGTAATAAGTATGCGTGTGTGTGATGCATGTCTTCCAACCACCATTTCTTTCTCCCTTTTACTTATCAACTTTTGATGATTAGTTTAGGGTCATATTTTCCATTAGCATCCTTATGCTAGCATGTTTGCAACCATTCATCTGTCTTGCATGCACCGGGCTCGGCGCATCATGCTAACTGTATTGTATTTCAATTCCAAATTCAATACATGTTATCTAATGGCATTCACATGACATCTTAGAATAGCCGAGCCTATCTTAGTTGCATTTTGCATGTGTTGCATTAGGCATTTTTGACATAGCTAGGATCATGCACGATTACTAACTAGCTTTTGTTTTAGCTCGGAGTACACTGTGAGTGTTTATGCTTTAGCATCTTGCATGTGTGTAAGTGTTTCCATGATAGCATGCTTGCCATGAGGCTAACTGCTTATGTGTTTAACTGCATGAATGTCTGTGGGTGAAGGCTTTATTGCCTAGATTGGAACAATTCATCAAAATGCGAGTTTTAAGCCCACTTTGCGGAGTGGCAAAATCATATTTTCCTAAGCCCACTTGAGGGTGGAAAAATCTGCGACTTAGCCTACTTGCGAGTAGCACTTTCAAACCATTTTCAAAAACAAACATGAGTTGTTTTGTTCCAATCCGCGTGATTGAGTCTATACTTGTATACTGTGCGCATCACATAGTAAGCTAGCTAATAAACCGGAATAAGAACACATGTGATTTTCCTAAGCCCACTTGAGGGTGGAAAAATCTACGACTTAGCCTACTTACGAGTAGCACTTTCAAACCATTTTAAAAAACAAACATGAGTTGTTTTGTTCCAATCCGCGTGATTGAGTCTATACTTGTATGCTGTGCGTATCACATAGTAAGCTAGCTAATAAGCCGGAATAAGAACACATGTGTTTTCAAAAACAACATATCATGTTAGTAAAGGCCGATCCTTTGATCGGGCGAGCGGGGGTGCTCATTCATGACCTTCCCCCCTCGTACCCAAGTTCCCGAGCCGAGGCAACTTTGGTGATGACGGACACGTGGCCTTAGGCACGAGTCAGGGTTTCCTAAATTTCTCAAAACAAAATATTTAGGTGGCGACTCTGAAATCTGGCAAAGCAGTCCATGTTTGGCACTTTTTTGATTAAAATCGATTTTCCAAAACGATTTGCCAGATTTGGACTCTTTAGTGATTTATCAGTCTCACGTTGCACTTTGTGAGATTAGATTCAGAACCGTGATAGGAGTCCGAACTGTAGTAGCTAGAACCACAATTTGTGCCCTCGCGTGCGGAGCGGAGTTCGGGCGGTCTACAATGTTGTTTTGAGCCTTTACTGAATAACTTTAATCTTTTCAGTGGTTGTTTGCACAATTTCAAGTCCAAGCAAGACCTTATCCCCAACTTCGGTCCAATATATCGAAGATCTACATTTCCTTCCATACAAGGCTACATATGGTGCCATGCCAATGCTAGAGCGGAAACTATTGTTGTATGCAAATTCTGCCAGTGGCAAATAAGTTTTCCGGCTCCCCTGAAAGTCCAGAGCACACATTCGGAGCATATCCTCTAAAGTATGAATAGTTCTTTCTGATTGCCTATCATTTTGCAGATGAAATGCAATACTAAACCCCAATTCCATTCCCATTGTTCTTTGAAGACTTTTCCAGAATCTAGACACAAATTTTGGATGTCTATCCAAAACAATGGATACTGGTACTCCATGTAAATGAATAATTTCATCAATGTACATTGTAGCCACTCTATAAGCATCATAACTAATCCTTCCAGATAGAAAATGTGCAGATTTAGTCAACCTATCCATAATAACCCAGATAGAGTTCATACCTCAAGGTGTCTGAGGTAGACCAAAAATGAAGTCTATGGTTATATGCTTCCATTTTCATTCTGGAAAAGGGAGAGGCTGGAGTAATCCTGCCAGCTTTTGATGTTCAACTTTGACTTGTTGACATTGAAGACACTTAGACATATATTCTGCAGTTTTCTTCTTCATTCTAGGCCACCAATAACTTTGTTTCAAATCTTGATAAATTTTGTTGTTACCCGGATACATTGCAAATTTGGACTTGTGAGCTTCTTTCAAAATTCTTTTCTTCAAATCAGAAATGTTTAGGACACACAATCTTCCTTGAAATCTTAACACTTCATTTTCAATACTGAACCCCGGTTTTAGATTTGATTTGAACTCATCAAACACTCTCATAAGGAATTGATCCTTCATTTGCCTTTGTTTTATCTCATCAATGATTGTCGGTTGAGCTGAAATAGCGGTTATCAACATGCCCTGATCATGTAACACCACTTCAATCTCGATTTTTTCTAAGTCTTTCGATATCTCTTTCTATTAAATCAACAAGCATGCCAATTTCCCCATTGACTTTCTACTCAAAGCATCAGTTATGGTGTTGGCTTTTCCTGGATGATATTGAATATGAGGATCATAGTCTTTAATCAACTCGAGCCATCTTCTTTGTTGTATATTCAATTCTTTTTGAGTGAAAAAGTACTTCAAACTCTTATGGTTGATATAAACTTCACATTTTGCTGCATACAAATAGTGGCGCCAAATCTTCAAAGCAAACATAACTGCGGCCAATTCTAAGTCATGAGTCGGATAATTCTTTTCATGAGGTTTTAGTTGTCGAGACGCATAGGCTATCACTTTACCATTCTACAACAAAACACAACCCAGACCCTTGTAAGAAGCATCACTATAAATCACAAAATTTTTTTGTACTTAAGGGCAATGTCAAAATAGATGCTGTGGTTAGTCTTGTTTTCAGTTCTTGAATTGCAAATTCCCTTTTATCAGTCCATTCAAAGGGTTGTCCCTTTCGAGTAAGTTGGGTAAGTGACACAGCTATCTTTGAAAAGTCTTTCACAAATCTTCTATGGTACCCAACTAATCCCATAAAGCTGCGGACTTCCATTACATTTGTTGATGTAGGCCAATTCACAATTGCCTCAATCTTTTATGGGTTTAACGAAATTCCATCTTTATTAATCACATGACCTAGAAACACAACGTCATCTAACCAAAATTCATATTTCTTCAGTTTAGCATATAATTTCTTCTCCCTAAGTGTTTGCAAAACTGTTCTAAATGATGTTCATGTTCTTCTCTACTTCTTGAATAAATTAAGATATCATCAATAAAAATAACTACAAATTTGTCAAGGGTGGATTTAAAAATTTGGTTCATAAGGTCCATAAATGTTGTAGGTGCATTTGTAACCCCAAATGGCATAACCAAAAATTCGTAATGTCCATACCTTGTTCGAAATGAAATTTTCTTAACATCTTCAGCTTTCACTTTTAGTTGATGGTATCCGGATCTCAAATCGATATTTGAAAACACTTGTGAACCATGCAATTGATCAAACAAGTCATCAATGCGTAGTAAAGGATATTTATTCTTGATCGTTACCTTATTTAACTCTTGGTAATCAATACAGAAGCATAAGGTTTCATCTTTCTTCTTCACAAATAAAACTGGCCCACCCCAAGGTGAAGTGCTCGATCGGATAAAACCCTTGTCAAGTAAATCCTGCAGTGTTCTTTTAGTTCTTTCATCTCAACAATTGACATTCTATATGGAGTCTTTGAGATGGGTTGAGTACCTGGCATGATTTCAATAGTAAACTCAATTTACCTATCAACTAATTCCCCTAGAAATTTCTCTAAAAACACCTTTGAAAATTCTCTAACAATAGGAATATCATATAACACAATATTCATAAGCTGATTAGTCAAAATACTACACAGATAACCCTGACATCCTTTGTTAAGTAGTTTGCATGCTTTCATTATCGAAATCAAGTAAGGTGGATGTACTACACCATTACCCACAAATACAAATTCTTCATGTCCCGGAGGTCTAAACAAAACCTGTTTCGTTACATAATCAATGGTAGCACAATATTTAGACAACCAGTCCATTCCCAAAATCACATCAAAATGTCTAATGTCAAGAGGTAACAAATCTAGAAATAATGTAGTATCTCCAACACGTATTTCACAACCACAATATATAGATGAACATAGAATAGATTTCCCAAATGAAGCAAATAGACACAACAGATATGGCAATGATTCCATAAGTCTATTTAGTTTAGATGCAAATACAACAGATGCAAAGGAATGTGTCGAACCCAATTTAATTAGCACATAAGCATTTTGGTTGCAAATAAAAAGGGTAACTGAGATAACGTCTTCAGTAGTCCGTGTATCACTTGGGACGAGTGCAAAAACTCTCCATTGCCTTAGTGTCTTTCTTATAACAGCAGGCCGTGTAGTGTTTCCTAGCATTGGGACATACCCAGTTGAACTAGCAGCTAGTCTTCCACTTTTATGTTCATTTCGGGGACAATCTCTGGCCATGTGTCCTGTCTTACCACATTAGAAACACGCCCCAGAAGTACAATAGCAAACTCCCCGGTGTTTCTTGCAACACTCACTACAGGTTGGTGTAGAATCTCTTATTGAATTGGACGCACTAGACGTTCCCAAATTTTGCTTCCTTGAAGGTGATGATCCTTTATTCGAATAGGAACCGTGCCTCTTTCCTTTCCATTCGAATGGCCTATTATGGGATGCCAAATTTTCCTTAGACATTAAAGCCCTATCAAGAACATCCACGTACTTTGGTAATTTCAGGACATTTACTTTTTCTTGAATTGCATTTCGAAGTCCACCCTCAAATTTTCTTACCTTTTTATAATCGGTATCGACCATATGTGGTGTAAACCTTGCTAACTCAGTAAACTATGCCTCATATTCGGCTACCGTTTGGTTCCCTTGCTTCAGTCTTTCAAATCGGTCTCTAATGCATTGGGAAAAATATTTCTCGTAAAAGATTTCTAGAAATTTCGCCCAACTAACCCCTACATTTTTGCCTCTCACCAACATCCACCATCTACGAGCCTCGCCCTCCAGAGTAAATGCCGCCAGCTGAACCTTTTGTGCATCAATGCATGAGAATACTTCAGACAACTTCTCTACACCAAGGACCCATGCCACGGGTTTTAGAGGATCTACTCTACCCTAGAACAACGGTGGCTTCATCTTCTTAAGTTCTTTAGTCAAAGCGATTGTACGGTCATCAGCCTGATGATCTTGAACATGTGGCACTGACATTGGCGAGGTGGAGGTGTTTGTTGTTGCTGTTGCCTGAATGCTTTAAACATATCTTGGATCATTCTTTCCATTCTATCCAGTCGAGCAATAGTCAACTCTTCATTCTTATCAGCCTTTGTTCTCACCATTATCTGCATAAACTTACATTATAATAAACATAGAAATTGCACATATATACATAGGCACAACAGTTCATATTCCATATATTCACATGTTCTTATTGCACACAAACAGATACTTATCAGATGAATGCACCTTAAGTCTTTTCTAGACACCTTATTGCTCATTTGGACAATCATGAGAGTTATTAAATCGTGCTCTGATACCACTCTGTCATGACCCAAACTCACCGCTATAGGTCTGGATCATAACCGACCAGTAATCATGAGATTACTTATGGCCTCAAACAGAATTCAAAAAATATTTAAATATATGGGGCCAAAAGTGGAAGCAGAAGTACAAAATTTTGTCTAATAAGATGTGCGTATATGGCATAAACAAAAATATTTCATACGTTAATAACTAACAACCATATAATACACCTTGTTCATACATTCATTACATACTTCCATACAAGACTTAAACAAAAAAATATTATTCATGATCTTACAAAACTTAAACTTCTTATACAGAAGAGGTGGTCAAGCATAACCAACAAAAAACAAAACAAGATATAAAAGTCTAATGCATGAGGCATCCTTGGCTAACTCCACAAAAACATGGTATTCCCCCTAAAGGTTCACTAAGGCTGGGGTTGGACATTCTGCTGCTCACCTACATACATATATATAATCGAGTGAGCCAGCGCCCAGTGAATAACATTAGAGGGGTGTTTTGGAAAGATGATTAGAAGTTGGTTTTTTTACTTTTTTTTGACCATTTGGCTTTTTTTTTTATTCTTTTGTGAGAGAGGAATTGGGTTAAAAGTTGGGAAGTGGCTTTTAACCCACTTCCCAAAATACCCCAGAGTAAAGAGGTTATATAAATGATTTCTAACACTTGAATAAAATCATTTTTATAATAATTTTGTATCATAGTGAACTGACCTTGGATCCAATACACGACAGAACGACCTTGGGTCCAACATAAACAAAGATTTAGAACAGAAACAGATCTTACTTACCAAAACAACCTTGGGTCCAATCAATTATAGTTGTATAGTCACCATTCGGTAACTCATAACATATAATCAAACTTATCAGATGTTCAGAACGACCTTGGGTCCATCTTGTCAAATATACGCAAGGACCTTGGGTCCATTTCAGATATACAAAATGACCTTAAGTCCATCATACACATTCGTGTCACATTAATCACATTTACAGTTATTATGTTGATTAGACAGATAGGAACTCATTCACATTTGCAAAATCACGAATTCGAAAAGCTTTATACATTAAGACATTTAGAAAATAGAGTACATAAGAAAAAATCTTTACTAAGATATTACTCACAATGATTCGGTTGTTGATACGCCATCGTGGATGGTCCTACACAATTCGTAAACACAAACACAAATTGGATCACAATGCTTATTCAATCTATTCTTCAAGTTATTTAATTCTCTTAGGCTTCTCTCTAACTCTTTAATTCATTTAGAATGCTCAATATATGCCTAAGAATACTCAGAAGAGAATGAGAATGCCAAAATGAACAAAACATAACTTCTCAAAATATGCTGAAAAATGACACTTTGCTCGAGCGCAACATTAGTCTCTCAAGCGGACCACTGGGTCGTCAAAAGTACTGGATGATCTGAATCTAGGCTCGATGTTTTCTTAAGCCAAGGTGCAAATTAAAAGACAATCGCTCGAGCAGTGACTTGGTCGCTCGAGTCAACTATAAATTTCTGTAAAACTTGTGGATGCATGAAATGTGCGCTCAAGCGACAAATTTCTCGCTCGAGCGGTGAGGCAGAATTTTGGAATTTCAAAAATAGAATTAAACTTCCAAAACTTGTGTTTTCAAATCAAAATCTTGCATGGCTTGTATACAACTTCACAAACAATTAAAACTCTTCTATATACATGGATTCAAGACCAATTCTCAAGCCTCATGGCTAAACTTTATGAATTCAACTCAAATGATCATGCATGTATGATTAAACTTCAAATTCTTTTCTAAAGCTTCAAAAACATGAAATTCGCTTTCAAAACTCTATAAATCATGGAATTAAGCTCTAAAGCTTCATAATTCATGAATGCATGTAAGGTATGATTCTTAATTTAAACATGGATGACAAAAACCATGCTCAAAATGATGGATTTCATCAAAATTGTGCATGCATGTATGAATTGACTCTAAATTCATTATCTTCAGCTCATTTCTAACTCAATACTTGTGATTAATCTTATAATCTTTAAGAAATCACTAAATAGATAACTTAAATTCATGAATTAGAAATCGAATTCTTATCTAGAGCCTTGTGCTTAGCTTGATTATGCAAAATCCTAGCTTCCTCCAGCCAAAATCCAAGTTCTCTAGCTCCCTCTCTCTCTCTCTCTCTCTAGAATTGTCTCTTTATCTCTAACTTGCAAAATCTAGGCCACATGAAATGTTTGAGCTCAATTCCTTAATTATAGCACATAACATCCTGAAATTCTCACAAGAACATGCCTAGACAGACACAATAATCTACCCAAAAAGTCATCTTTCTCATTGAACTAAGAGTTAAGAGATTACAATTCATCATGTACACTCCCACAATACCTTGGATTCGTATCTCAGTTCAATGAATTAGATAGTCTTACAAAATATAAGCCTCTAGGGCATACAATACAACAAAACAATTTTTGATAGTCCTGTTACAAAAATCCCATATTCAATATAACAAAACACCCATGAATCAACTTTTCCCAAAAAAAGCTATTGCTTGTTCCAATCCATCAATGAGGTGGTACTTCGTCAACTCCTGAAAAATAAAATAAGGTTGAGCTATATACCCAGTAGGACATTTAACCAAGTATTAAATCCTTTGAATAAGATTATGGTATCCTTGAGAAAAAACTTTACAAAGAAATTATCACAACCCAAACCCGCCCCTAAAAGTTTAAGCCATGACTGGCCAGTACCAGGCCTCAATCTAATTTCAATCAATATTTACTCAGTAATGAGGGCCTAAAGCGAAAGTAAATAAATAATAAAATGCCCATTGAGCTAATCAATATTTACTCAGTAATGAGGGCCTAAAGCGAAAGTAAATAAATAATAAAATGCCCATTGAGCTGTGCTTAAATGCCAGGATCGAAACACTTGTATTACATATACACAGTCCACATATAGTGACATACTAAGATAGATAGAAATATACAAAGTAGTGATATCTCAAAAGTTACACATATAGACAGATTGTTCAAAGAAGGTCATCAGTGACTTGACAACATATTCTATTAAATGAGAAAGATTTCAACAAAAGACAAAAGGTTCCACTTTGGGAAGCTCGACAAAACTGGTTCAACAAAAAGGTTCCTGGAGCTGACCTAGAGCTATCTCTCGAGCTGGTCACCTACATAAATATACATAAAAACAGAATGAGCAAGGCTCAATGAATAATAACAATGTAAGGAGGTTAGGTGAATGAGTATAGCCATGAAGAATATATAGATATATATACAAATTAAACCATATCCATAATTCAAAACGGCCTCGGGCCGACATTTAATACAGAACTACCTCGAGCCCACAGACGGTACAAAACGGTCTTGGGCCCAACATAGTATAGAACGACCTTAGGCCCATCATAACAACAGTTGTCCAGAACATTATGAGGTAGATGGAACATCGTCATATCTCCACCTTCCTCGGCCTTAGAGCCATTAGATATATGCAATCCATATCATTATAGAGTAGATGAAACATCGGCATGCCCCCATTTCCCTCGGCCTTAGGGCCATGAGTCATAAACAATTCATATCATAACGGCCTTGGGCCCATCTTTATTATTAGAAACATAACGACCTTGGGTCCATGACAATGAAATTGTTCAATCATCTCAATTATTCCCAATCGAAATACTCTATCAAGAACATATGTCATTCATGAGTAAAATCATAATCACAGAAATAAGTTAAGCATATCATTACACTACTATTACTTACTGTGATGTGGTTGAACGACAGTCCCTTCCGGCACGTGACTTATAGTGGAATTTCTTGAATCCCCTTCCAATTCCTCGAATTTTCAAGCCCTTAGTTGATCTTCCTTCTGTTCTCTCTTTCTCTCATTTCCTCTAGAACTCTCTCTCTCAAGAGATATTTTGTATTTTTGTTGAGCCTCCAATTTCTAAGGCTCTTATATCTACCCAACTTAAGTTATGAGTCTAATTTAAGCTTGATTGAGAATTAAGCCTAAATAATTCCAATTAATTCTTTACGAATCAAATTTTTACAAAACTTGATATTATGTCCTAAAAATCATGTTGATCGCCACGGTAAAGTCAATTTCTGATTATCGCGCCTCTACGATTCCCAATTTCCAGTCCAAAGGCCCCAACTTCAACAAATTTTATCTTAACCAACAGATATAATTTGATAAACATATAATTCACACATGAAAGCATGGAATTTCATATTAGACAAATAAACATGTACATATTCACA